AGCCCCGGGCAGGTTTGCAGCCTCGGGCCACGCGGAAGAGCACAGACTCACACGGTCTGACCGCAGGCCCAGCCCCGCACCAGCCAGCCTGGGAGAGCATGTGTGCTGACCCCCAGCTCCACGGGGACGGGGGTGGTGAATCAGTGAGGAATCCCATGGGAGCCCTGGCTGGGTTAGCCCGGTGGTTAGAGCACCAGCATTCGACCGACGGGTGGACGGTTTGACTCCAGGTCAAGGACACGTACCTCAGGTTTGATCCCCAGTCCTGGTCGGGGCGTGTGCAGGAGGCAACCCATCGATGTGCCTCTCTCACATCAATGTTTCTCTCTGTTCTGCTTCTCCCTCCCATCCTCCCTCCCTCTCTCTCTCTAAAGCAGCGGTTCTCAACCTGTGGGTCACGGCCCCTTTCACGGGTCGCCTAAGACCATCCTGCATATCAGATATTTACATATCGATTCATAACAGTAGCAACATGACAGTTATCGAGTAGCAACGAAAATAATTGTATGGTTGGGTCACAACATGAGGAACTGTATTAAAGGGCCAGAAGGTTGAGAACCGCTGTCTAAAGATTGATGGGGAAATGTCCTCCCGTGAGGACTGAACAAAAGAAACAGAACCCAGTGGGAAGCCTTGAGGGGAGAAGACCGGGATCAGAAGGGGCTGGTGTTGGGGTCACGGCAGTGCCGAGCGGCATCAGACGAGGGCCTCGGCCAGAACCAGTGTGTGGTGTGCCGTGGCCCTGCGTGTGGCGGTGCTGGTCAACAGCACCTCCCAAACCGGGCCTTTCCGAAGAGGAGGGGCCTGGGAGGGGATGGACTCGCGTCCTCATCTGGGGCCTGAAGCCGCCTCTGGGCGGGGAGCCAGCCCTGCCCCCCACCGACGTCTCAGCCACCGTGAGCTCTTGTGTGGGCTGTGGCCGATGACCTATTCCTGGAGCTTCGCCGGAGGCTGGGAGCCCCTCCTCCCACCCCAACTCGGGGCAGAGGTCCCAGCCAGCGAGCCCTGAGCGCCGGGACCATCTGGAGCCCTCCATCTGCGCCAAAGGAGCCGGCACGGCCCTCCCCGGCCCTGGACCTTCCCCCGAAGGAGGGTGCTCTCGGCTTTAACTGGGTGCAGGCAGAAGTCACCGAGCCTTGGACAGAGAAGGAGGTGCCGCTGCACAGCGTCCGGGTCCCCACGGCGCAGGGGCCAGTGCCCATGGCTCCCAACTGTCTGCACTGTTTTCCTAACGACCCGCGGGCACGAGCCGCCCACTGCGCCCTGGACCCTGTGCCGGGGCCTGGGGCACCGTCCGCGATGCCGGAGGCTCTTCCTCTCTCAGGTCTGGCCCTGCTTCTGGGCAGAGCTGAACCATCGACGGGACGTCCAGAGGGGCTCGCCCATGCCCTCCAGGCGGCCTCTGTGCTGGCGGCTCACTGCATCTCACCCCAAACACCAGCGGGAGCAGCCTGGCCCCACTGGGGGCTGCAGCTCCGGTCGGGGAGGCGTTTGTGTTTGGGAAAGAGCCTGGTGGGTGCCCTTTGCTTTTTAACATTCATGTGTGGCTTCTGGAAGCTTTCCCTGCGCTTTTACGCTCGGCTCAGAGATCCTGGCTTTGTCTCCCTAAGGCCTGCACATCGTATTCTCCTTTAACACATTTTAAATGCGTGTTCATTGGTGTGAGAGAGGGAGAGGGAGAGAGACATCCATGTTGAGAGAGCATCACAGACCAGCTAGCTCCTGCACGCCCCCAACTGGGGATGGAGCCTGCAACCCGGGCCTGTGCCCTGAAAGGAATGGAACCCTGACCTCAGGACGATGCTCCCCCACTGAGCCCCACCGGCCGGGCAGGCCTGCCCCTCCTCAGGGTCAGCGTTTAAGGGCCGGCGCCCCCGCTGCCTGATGCCGCATGTGAACAGCGCTCAGCTGCCGCCTGGTGGGGCCAAGCCCATGGGTGAGGCGCATACCGTCACCATTAACAGAGGCTTCCGACCTGAGCCGCGGCCAGGCACTGGGGGAGGGGGTCAGCCCAGGGCTGCAGGGGCCCCTCCTCACAGCGAGTGGGTCCAGGACCCTGGACGCCAGGGAGGGGACGGGCCTGGTCCTGAGAGGGCGTGTCTTTCCGATAACAGTCCCTCCCCAGCTGTTTTCCAAGTCAGAGGCACGGAGTGACTGCATGGCTAAGGCGGGAGGTGGAGGCTGCTGCCCGCAGGGGGGTCCCCGGCACGGGCTGTGGCCAGAGGGACGGCGCCTGCGGTGGAAGGGAGGATCCTGAGTCGGGGGAGGACCCTGGCCTCCGGGGCCGTCTCATCCGCGAGTCCTTCCACGCGGGCCTTTCCTGGCTGTGCTCAGAGGGAGACGGGGCCAGAGATGGGTGTCGCCGGCTTTGATGTTGGAGGGAGGGGCCGCGGCCACGGACTGCCAGAGGCCTCTGGAAGCTGGAAGGGGCAAGAACAAGTCCTCCCTGCCCTGGCTGGTGTGGCCCAGTGGTTGGAGCGTCAACCCTCTGACTGAAGGGTCATGGGTTCGATTCCGGTCAAGGGCACATTCCTGGGTTCAGGCTCAATCCCCGGCCCCAGCTGGGTGTGTGTGTGTGGGGGGGGGGCATGGGGAAACCAATCCATGTGTCTCTCTCACATCGAGGTCTCTCTCTGTCTCTCCCCTTCCTCTCTCCCTTCCATGCTAACAAGTCATGGAAAATGCTCTCAGGTGAGGATCAGCAACAGGAACAAAAGGACACATTCTCCCTGGAGCCTCCGGAAGGAGCCGGGCGGCGTCCAGGCCGGGGAGACCCACCGCGGCTTCTAAGTGCTAAACGCACGTCAGCTGCTTGAAGCCTGAGTCAGTGGTAACGCGTCGCGGCAGCAGCAGAAAACTACGTGCGTGTTGCTGAGTGACCGGCTGAGCGGCCCTCCTTTCATTCCTGAAGGCCCTTCGGTAAACAGAGGCCGGACGGTCATGCGATCGAGCGGTCAGTCTCTCCCTTCACACCGGGCCTCGGACGGCTAAAGACCAGATGTCTGTCAGCCATGCCCGGCGGCCTGGCTCAGGGGTGAGCGTCGACCTATGAACCAGGAGGTCCCAGTTCAATTCCTGGTCGGGGCACAGGCCCGGGTTGTGGGCTCCATCCCCAGTCGGGGGCGTGCGGGAGGCAGCCGATCCATGATTCTCATCATTGATGTTTCTCTCTCTCC